ATCGACAAGCACATTTCCATCTTCTGCTCCGAATTTCACATTTGGTATCATAGGGGCATCACCAGGTTTCACTTCAACTAAACCTGTCTCATCCAGTAGGTCCAGAACATATTTCCTTTGAGATAGAAAAATTCCTTTGCCACTTCGAGATATCTCTATCCCTAGGAAATATTTCAAAGGACCTAACTCCTTTGTTTGAAATTTTGTGCCAGGAAAGCCTTTAGCATACTTATGCCACTGCTATCACTACCAGTAATCACAATATCATCAACATATACAACTAGGAAAATACACCCAACTGTAGACTGTTTAAAAAATACTGAGTGATCATATGCACTTCTTTTCAAGCCATATTCAATCACAACCTCACTAAATTTTCCAAACCAGGCACGGGGTGATTTTTTCAGACCATATAATGACTTTTGTAGTTTGCATATCTTCCCTGACTCCCCCTGAGCAACAAACCCTGGTGGTTGCTTTATGTAAACTTCTTTGTACAAATCTCCATGGAGAAATGCATTTTTAACATCCAGCTGGTGAAGTGGCCAATAATAGGTAGCAGTAAGAGAAATGAACAACCGAACAGAAGCTAGTTTAGCAACAGGAGAGAAAGTCTCAAAATAATCCACACCATAAGTTTGAGCATACCCTTTAGCAACCAAAAGAGCCTTCAATCGAGCAATAGATCCATCAGGATTCATCTTGATTGTAAACACCCATTGCACCCAATTGTCTTTTTATTAAGGGGTAAATGAACCAATTCCCATGTGTGATTATGTTCCAATGCCATCATTCGTCTTGCATGGCTGCTCGCTAGCCACTATGGGATAACGCCTTAGAGATAGATTTTGGTACAGACACATGCTCTAAGTAAGCAATGAAGGACTTGGAAGATGGTGACAATGCATGGTGAGAAACAAAAGAAGAGATAGGATAAGTACATGATCGTTTACCTTTTCGGAGAGCAATGGGAAGATCAAGTATAGGATCATGAGGGGGTGACGGATCCTGAGGCGAAGTAGCAGGTAGATGTGGCAAGTCATGGGCAGTATCAAGTGCCATCGAAGATTGCTGCACACGACGAGTGTAAACACTTTGAATAGGAGGACGAGAAGATACTAGTAATACAGGTGTAGTCATAGTGTAAATAAGGAAGTCATCTTCAGGATCAATAGAAGATGGATTAGAGGACACAACAGTACTAGAAAAAGGTGTGGACTCGAAAAAAGTGACATCAGCGGACACCAAGTATCGTCCTAAGGAGGGAGAAAAGCATCGATAAACTTTTTGATGTCGAGAATAACCCAAAAATATACACTTAAGAGATCTAGGATCAAGTTTGGAAAGTTGAGGTCGCATATCTTGAACAAAGCAAATGCACCCAAATATTCTAAGAGCAAGAGAGAAGAGAGTCTGAGAAGGAAATAAAATGGAATAAGGGATTTTACCATTTAAAACAGATGAAAGCATACGATTAATTAAGCAACACGCAGTAGAGACTGCATCTACCTAAAATTCTTTTGAAACTTTCATATGAAAAAGGAGAGCTCGTGCGACTTCCAATAAATGGCGATTCTTTCTTTCTGTTACTCTATTTTGTTGTGGAGTAACAATAAATGAAGATAGATGAATAATGCCATTTTGTGAAAGAAATGATGTAAATGTTGATGAAAAATACTCCTTGGCATTATCACTTCTTAAGATGCGTATAGATTTGTCAAACTGAGTTTTAATCTCAGCATAAAAGGCACAGAAAATTGAGAATCGTTCAGAACGATTTTTCATAAGATATAACCAAGTAATACGAGAATGATCATCCACGAAAGTAACAAAATAGCAAAAACCAGACTTAGATAAAATAGAACAAGGACCCCAAATATCTGAATGTATTAAATCAAAAGGGGACACGGCCCGTTTATTCATTCTAGGAAAATATGACACTCTATGATGTTTTGCTAATTGACACGACCCACAATTTAATTGAGACACTTAACTAAAACTAGGACATAATTGCTTCAAAACGGGGAGAGATGGATGATCGAAGCGGCAATGGAGCTACAGAAGAGAAGAAGTACTAGTGCATGCAGTCGATCTTGGCAGCTGTGTAGGGAAAGAATCTAGCACATATAAGCCATTGAGCTCATGCCCTCTACCAATAATCTGCTTCATCCCAAGATCCTGGAAAACACAATGGTTAGGGAAGAAAAGAACATTACAGTTAAGGGATTTAGTAATTTGACTCACAGATAAAAGATTGAAAGGAAACTGAGGTAAACATAAAATGGATGACATTGGTAGAGAGTTTGTTGGATGTGGAGTCCCATATCCAACAACAGGAGTTGTAGACCCATTAGCTAAAGTGACACATGGTAAATTGGAAGAGTATTGAAGTGATGAAAGTATACCTGTATTTCCAGTCATATGATCTGTGGCACCGAAATCAATGACCCAATTATGGGATGCGGTAGAAAGACACGCTATAGAATTACCCGTGTTAGCTATAGTGGAGGTGGAAGTGGAAGTGGAAGATGTACGAGGCTGTTGAGAAGCGTAAAAATATGTAAGGCGAGCATATTCATCTGCTGAAATTGTTGTTTGAGGCTAAGTAGAAGGTGTAGGTAAAAGACCATCCTGAGCGGCAACATTTGCAAACTTTCTCTGGCCTGTGTTCTTTGCTGGTTT